GAAACGATAGGGACTTGGCCTCGAGAGGGAGACCATTGAGAGCGTCCATTTACGCCCACATTGTTCGGAGGCGAAACTCGAGTCATTTGTGCGAGCGGTGAGGGCGGAAACTAAGTCAGGGTTGGTGAGAGGATCTCTATCTCCTGAGAAAAGATGAGCCTGGAGGGCTGTGCGCGTTGGATGGAAAGAGCGCGATGCATGGGGAACCAAAGATCCGACCCGTGTAGATACGGAGTGGGGGTGCCGACGCAGGCCCGTGGCTCACGTCCAAGGAGTACTGATCCAGGAGAGCGCTGGAAGAGCCGCGCATCAACGTGATTATGCATGAAATAATTAATAAATATTAGGCTAGGGCGAAGTCGCGAGGGAGGTCATGGATTCCGACTCACGGGAAGCTACACTTTCAAGGAAGTTGCGACGCGAGTAAGAATGATGTTACAAACAGAGAGCTGGTACGCGCATATTCGACAACGGAAGGCAGTGTACGAGCGAGGGATTAGAGTTCGCTCTCCTCTCTACTCTGCTGTCGCGCCATTGGATCGCCTGTTCTACCTGAGCCGAATCAGATGAGCCGTTCATTATATGACGAGTGGACCTACCATAATTCATCGCGACCAGGTACCCGCTCTGGAATGGTCCATTCACCGTCTCCTCCGCGCGCCTGGTCTGTGAATTCCGCGACTGACCTCCGGAGAGGAACTGGCCCCTGCTCGCTTCGGAAGTCCTCCTCGATAGGGAACTTCAGGAAGACATTCGGGCTCGGCTCGTCTGCGAGTCTCCCGACCATCTCGTCGTACAAGACGCCGGGCGTGCCGCAGAACCAGACGTCCCCGAGCATCGGATTGAATCCCGGCTGGATGATGACGGTGTGGCCTGGGATTGCTCTGGAATTATTCTTCAGTCAATGAACAGGTAGTGCACGCGTTGGACTTCACAATGGAGGGAGTTTTTCTGGGATGCGCAGGATATCCTCTTTGAAGCTTTCCTTCCATCCTTGAACTGGATATGGCGGGTTCAGTTCCGCCGGAAGGCTATCCAGGCTTCCCTTGCCGGTCATTAGGAGACGTGTTAGCCCGGGGAAATCGTCGAGGAGGGATGCCAGCGTCGGGGTTGCGATGTGGTGATATAAATTGGCCAGTTGCAAGTACGTGATGTCAGAGAGCCGTGCGGGATGTCGAAAAGCACCAGAAGCAGTGTCCATCCGCTGACTTCGAAATGTGAAGTGCGTCAAGGATGGGTACACTGTAGTCGCGACCAAGAAGAGCCGCAATGCGGGGATCGACGCGTTCTTCGATGTCGCTCTCATATTCATCGTATGAATCATTACCCGGGTTCGAAATGTACGTCCGGTAGGTGAAAGCCTCCAGCGACGAGGCTACCTTGTCGAGAACGCGCTTCAAGGGCGCCTCGATGTCACGCACCGCACGTTTGAGTTTGAGATTAACCTTGGCGTTACTGTGCCTAATTTCCTCTCGCCTGTCCTCTTCCTCGTCCGTGAGTGGTGGCCGGGTCCTGTGGCCCCAATAGTCGACCTCGAAGTGCGCGGAGGAGGTGTATCCGTAGTGGGTGTCCACATCCTGGACGGTCGAATCGGATATCAGGAGCCTCACAATTCTCGTCTCTGGATGGATGGTGAGGTAGTCGGCGAGCTGGGCCACCCCCGGCATCCCAGTTGCGATATAAGTTCCTTGGGGACGCTTGTCTTGCCCCGGAGTGAACAACGTTTGGTTGAGGTCCATGATCGTGCCGGGTAAAAGGACTGTGCAACCCGCAGAAGAGAATCCAAGCAAGAGAGGTAGAACGAGATGGCACATTCCTCGCAGTAAGAGTGCAAGGTGACGGTTTCCTTTGAAACAACTCGGAATCGGATGCCAGCCGCAGGAAAGCTGTGCTATCGCATCAATTCGGGCGAACATTCCGATCACGCCAGCTTTATTTGATTCCAGGGACCAGCTTGCAGCTGCAGCAGTCCTCCTTCCACCATGAACGAATCCAGCGAATTCAGTGCGCCCGTCGGCGCGTTTCCTTGAATGCCAATCGGGGAGCTGGATATCCCGGGCCCTCGGCACAGCGTTCCCGATGCTGGCGCACATAGGTTCGTTCTGCCAGGACCCAGGACTGGCTTGATCGTGGCATGATCTTTCTGGGCGTTCCGCGAGCCTTCTGCAGTCCTACAGGCTCGCTCTGTGTTCTTCATGACGTCTTCTGACACCCGTTTTGGTCTGAGTGCCATCTTATGTATCTTGCGACGCATCCGCCAGGCTAATGAAAGCATTTTGGTCCCTCTATTACATTCTGACTGTGTGGTTCGTTGTCTCCTCAATGTGCCGAGGAGGGGCATTTTCCCACCCGGAATCTCGCAGTCAGCTTCGTCACTAACAAACCTACTGTTCTAGGGTATCCAAATCGTTGTCGTGACCTTTCCTTTTCAACTATATCGCGATCGCTAACACTTGGGACTCAAGGACAGAACCACTCAGTCTTTCCCTCACTCTGGATCTCGGCCTTATGTCTAGGGCCAGAGTCGGCGAGATTATCTCAAGCTAATGGTCCTTTTCTGGAACTGAGACATTATGTCTCGCCGATATGCCCGCCCCCTTATCAGGTCTGGAGCGGCCCAGATTTGCGTCCTCCAACGTATAAAAGGACGTTCATCTGGCTAAGGATTCCCCACCACCGGCTGCACCATCCCTGCAACCAACTCACTCAATCTCGCACCTCACCTACTTTTACTCAGTCACCTGCCATGCAGTGCGTATCCGCACCCACCCGTTCTACCAGCAACCTCGGCTGCGAAGCCATGCTCTCTCCGGACGAGTTCGACACCCGCATCGAGCGCTACCAGCGCCTCGCACACGACATCCTGCGGAGGCCCATCCCTGCGACACCGCCCGAGTGCCCCCTCATGCAGCGCGAGACGTGTCAGCCGCACGCTCCATTTCAACGATCACCTGCCATGCAGTGCGTATCCCCACCCACCCGTTCTGCCAGCAACCTCGACTGCGAAGCCATCCTCTCTCCGGATGAGTTCGTCACCCGCATCGAGCGCTACCAGCGCCTCGGGCACGACATCCTGCGGAGGCTCATCCCTGCGATACGGCCCGAATGCCCGCTCATGCAGCGCGAGACGTGTAGTCCGCACGCTCCATTTCAACGACCCGCTGTGTGCCCGCGTATGGCCCGCGGTCCAGCTTATGGACGCATCTGAACATCGTGAGCTTCACATTTCTCTCACTTCTGGGCCCGGCTCACCTCCGCTCTAGACTCACATATCTTATAACATTCCCTTCGCGGCGCAGACGGACTTGATGGGGAATCTTAGTTCGAAGATGGAGGTCTATTCGCAATTGTATCATATCTCATACCTGTATCACAAAGACTTTTCGCTCCCGGCTCTTTTCCTCCGAATTCTTGGCTGAGGGAAACGATCTGAGATTGAATCTCGATCGTGGAGAAGAGAAATTGGCTGCTTCGCTGAAAAAAATGATATTCAAGAGACCTGTGATTCGGACGCGGGGAGTTGAACCCCGGACTGCGAACTACGGCTAAACGAGAACCTGTAAAAGTGCTCGCGGTGTTCTCTACAGCACGTCCGATTATCACCTGGGTTATTTCCTCTTGAAGGGGGAGAGAAATTAAGTGCATTGAAATGGCTTCCGCAAGGCAGGAGGGAAAAAGCAGCACAACCAGCCATTAGGACGCGGGGAGTCGAACCCGCTACGTCGGTTCTATCATCTTAGTAGCGCCCGCGGTGTTCCGTACACCACGTCCGATTATTACCTGTGCTGATTTCTGCGTGAAGGGAGAGAGAAATTAGTTGCCTCGCCTAGGGTTCAGCGACGGAGGGGCCAAAAAAAAGACCTGGCAACCGTATTCGGACACAGGGAGTCGAATCCCGTTCGGATGCGGGGAGTCGAACCCCGGACTGCGAGTTACGCAATTCTACCATCTCAGCCGCGCGCGCGGTGTTCCGGACACCGCGTCCGAGAATTACCTACGTTGACTTATTCGCGAAGGGAGAGAGGAATTTAGACTACAGCGACTTCAAATGATAAAAACAGGTGTGGGACTCACACATTCGGACGCGGGGAGTCGAACCCCGGACTGCGAGCTACTGCATCTGCGATATATTAGTAGTGTTCGCGGTGTTCCGTACACCACGTCCGACTTTTATTCTTGTCAGTTTCTTCATGAAGTGAGGGGAACTAGTTACATCGCCGTGGTTGAGCAACGCAGTGGCTAAAAAAAGAGGAACAGGTAGTATTCGGACGCGGGGAGTAGAACCCCGGATTGCGAGCCAGTGATAAGAAAGTCATGTCAAGGATGCTCGTGGTGTTCCGTATACACCACGTCCGATTATTGTCTAGGTTGATTCATTCGTCAAGGGAGAGAGAATTTAGGCCACAGCGACTTCAAATGATAAAAACCACGCGTGGGACTCATGAGTCACCCATTCGGACGCGGGGAGTCGAACCCCGGACTGCGAGCGACGATGTAATTGTCTTCTACTAAGAATGCTGGGGATGTTCCGTACACCACGTCCGATTATTACCCTTCTTATGTCTTTCATGAAGGGAGAAAAATTGGTCAACTCACTGTGGCTTTCGACGCAAAATAAAAAGAAGGATGCTGTGCGCAATTCGGACGCGGGGAGCCGAACCCCGGACTGCGGGCTGCCGTTCCTGGATGGCTCTGGTAATGATGCTCGCTGTGTTCCGTACACCACGTCCAATTATTACCTGTGTTGAGTCCGTAGTAAAGGGAGAGAGAAAGTAGTTGCCTCGCCTGGGGTTCAGCGACGCAGGGGCAAAAAATCCGTCTGTAGCCATCGTATTCGGACGCGGGGAGTCGAACCCCGGACTGCGAGCTAGCTAAAGCGCTGCGATAGTAGCGCTCACGGTGTTCCGTACACCACGTCCGACGATTATCTGACTATATTCCTTAGTGAAGGGAGAGAGAAATTAGCTGCCTCTCAGTGGCTTCAGCGACGCAGGGGCGTATTCGGACGCAGGGAGTCGAACCCCGGACTGCGGGCTACCATTTATGGTTGACTGTGGTAATGATGCTCGCTGTGTTCCCTACACCACGTCCGATCATTATCCCTGTCAATTCCTTTGTCAATCGATAGAGAATTTAGAAATGCTGCGAGGTGAGGCAGGTGAGGTGGAGGATAAAATACGAACAGGCTTATTTATATCTGCAACAACGCCGGGTGCGCTGGGCTGAAACAGGAGCGGGATCCCGGGAACGGGGACATAAAAAGAAACAAAAACGGAAACAGATCTAGAGCCACGATCCGGGGTAGGCCTAACAACAATTAGATGGAAATCGTTGACTTGGTCCCAAAGGACTTGGGACATATGGGGACGTGAGAATTTACGGGAGGCTGAGAGGGGTATCGAAGCAACTGTCGCGTATCACTTGCTGAGAATCAAGCAGATCATGACGAGAGCCGAGAGCGGCTTGTTCATCTACATACGGGCGCTTGATCAACCCCAGATGAGGAAAAACAGTCAGAAGACCGGCGAGCTTCCTGTCAGCGCACAACGCCTACTGTAGCCTGCTACAGCACCATGTACAGCAGCTGTTTCCCCGTCCCCATCGCCCCCGACTTTCATTTCCGACGGGTTGAATCATGCCGCATCAGGCAAGTCGGATGTCGTCGGGACGGGATTGCCGGATCGGGACAGTGCAACCGGGGATGACCGGTGCCTGGTTTGTCGTTGTGCGTTACGGAGGCCGCTGGCGACGAGATGATGATCCTGCCGCGACAATAGATTTTGTTCCGCCGGCTAGCACCAGGTGTGGCCAGCCCACTGCTTTATTCGGTTGAGGGCGTCTTTCTTCTTCTTCTTCTTCCTTCTGTGGACTGGACTGGACTGGACTTGGATTTGGTTTGCTGCAGAGCTTGCTTGACTCCACCGCTGTACCCCCGCGATTACGCTTAGCTCCACTATGGCGAAAGACTCGGAGAAGAGGGGGAAAGAATCAAAGGAGAAGGAGAGGGAGAAAGACAAGGATAGGGAGAGGGAGAAGGAGAGAGACAAGGATTCGAAGGGGACGACGAGCAGGAGCAAGGGGAAGGGCAAGGAGGTGTCGGCGACGGCGTATGGCCCCGAGTTCCTGCGCGCGTTCGCGAGGCCCGCATCCATCCTGAGTGGCACGTCGGGCAGGGGCAAGCGCAAGGAAGGCGATGGCACGGCGCCGTTCGAGGTCATTACTGGCGTGGAAGCCCATCGCTTTGCGCGCCGGTTCGTGAGGTGAGTGCAATTTCATCTTCATTTTCCCTTTCATCTGCGTGCAATCTCTGACCAACACGACGTAGGGAGCAAGAGGTAGAGAAGGCGACGGAGCGGGATACGCACACCCACAGGCAGGACGACAACACCAACGCCAATGCCACAGCGAAATCGGAGTCGGGGGAGGGCGGCAGGGACACGGACACGCGCGCGGCGGAGCGCGACCAGCAGACGAAGCTCAAGGCGAACGCGCGCACGCTTCCGCCCGTGGTGTTCGCGCTCCCGCGCAGTGCAGCGGGCGACGCCGGCCGCAAGGTCGTCGATTTTTACATGTCGTGGCGGGGGAAGACGGTGCGTGTTTCTGTGTTTTGTGTTTTGTGTTTTCTATTTTCTGTTTGGGGCCCGTCCTCGAGCCTCCTTGGGCTTCGCCTTGCATTTTTTTTGTATTGCATTTTTATTTTATTTTATTCCGATTTTTATCTCCTCCCCATCCTCCCTCCCTCCACGTCGTCTCGTCTCGGGCCCCACACCACATGCATCTGTATCTCCGGTCGATCCTCCGCCGATCTCGCATCCTTTCCTCCCTCCCTTCCTTCTTGTTTCCCCATTCGTCCCCCCGCTTCCTCATCCTCTGCTTGCCTCTTCCCCATCCTCCCCCCATCTCCCCAATTCCACTTTTCTCCGTTCTCCTATCCCTCTCCCTCTCCCTCTCCCGATTTCGATTTCGATTCCTCTTCGTCTTCTCCGCGCCCGTACCCATATCCGGCACGAACGCTAACACCCCCGCAGAAAACGACGCGCCTCAAAGGCCTCGCGCGCCGCGCGGGCTTCCTCGACGCAGAGTTCCGCCGCGTGCGCGAGACGCTCGACGGGGAGTGGCGCCGCGCTAGGTGGGTTTCGTTCGTGCTTCTTCTTCGTCCTTCTCGTCGTTCTGTGGGATCTGCGTCATTGCGTCCCACGTCCTCGCGCCCCACCCCACCTTGGTACCCCTTGACGCGCCCTCTCTTCCCTGCTTCTTCATCTCCACTTCCTCTCTGCGTCCTTTCCGCCCTCCGCCCTCCACTTCCCCTTCCCCACCCCTCCTCTGCTTCCTCCTTCCCGCTCCCCTCCACTTCCCTCCTCGCCCCTCCCTCCTCCCCTCCCCTCTCGACATACAACGCTGACGCCCCCGCCCACAGCCGCGCGCTCAAATGCTCCACACACGAAGAAGAGAGTCCGCCCCAGCTCGGTGCGTCTCTTTCCGTCTTGTTGTCCTGCTTTCGCTGGTGTTGTCGTTTGGGGTGTTTCGGGCGCTGGGGGGGCTGGGGGCGTGGTCGAGGCGTCGAATCTTGTGCCTCGCGCTCGAGCGTTCGTGTGCTGCGGGACGGATGGTCAAGGCGCTTCGGGGCATCGAGGCGGTCGCTGTCTTTCTCCTTGGCTCGGCCTTGGGGTTTCGCGTTTGGCGGCGTCGCGGCCGTCGGCTTCGCCTTTGGGTGTCGTGTCGGCTTCGGGCGTCATGTCGGATCGGGGCGGGGACCGGACATCTGCGTCTGTCCCGTATTTCGATGGGCGGTGGGCGGCGGGCGTTGGAGTCGACGTGTCTCCGCGAAGGCCTCTGCGTGGTGGCTTGTATCGCGGACGGACGCGGTGATGGACGCGGTTGACGTGCGTGCGGTGGTCGACGTGGCGGTACCTTTGGCGTCGTCTTCATCTGCGCGGTGCGGGACGTCGCGTTCGCTTTACCTGCATCTCCGCGGTACGGACCGTCAGCTTCACCCGCGAAGGGGGCGTCAGGTCCGTGGCGGACGTGGACATGCAGGCGCACACAACTGGGTGCGAAAAGGTCCGCGGGGGCGGAGGAGGGGGTTAGATGCGCGGGCGGCGGACGGGGTGGATGCGCGGTCTGAGGACGTCGCAGTCGCTAGTAGAGCCCTGGAGAGGGTGGGGCAGCATGGGCGTTCGGCGGCGTCGCGGATATAAGGGAGCATTGGTGGGGTGTGTTTTGTGGATACGCGCGGTATGTCGATACGCTGCGTGTGGGTGCGCGAATACGTTTCCGCGCTCTGGAGTCGCCGCCGAGCGGTGCTAGTGGCGGGCTGCGCGCCCGTCCTCTTCTCCCTCTCTTCCCCCTTGCTCCCTTCCCTCTACCTTCGCAGCACCCACTAACCTCTCCGTCCAGTCCGAGCTCCGACGGACCCCCAGCCCCAACCGCGCCTCCCGCCCCTGCTCGCCGAATATGCGCGCGAGGAGCGAGAGCGAGAGCGCGGCGAGCGTGAGGGGTGCGTCTTTCCTCGTCCCCTGCCCTCCATCCCTCTTTCCATGCTGCTCCCATCTAACCCTCCCTTTCTCCCCACAGCTACGCTCCGCAATCAACGCGCTCCGTCTCAGAGCCGCTCCCCCTCCCGTCCTCGTTCCCCATCAACTTCGACCCAACGAGGCCACCGCTGGGCGTGCACCGCGGGAGCATCGACAGCGTGACGAGCCTGCCGCTGCTGGGCATGGTGCGCGGGGTGCCGGCGGGGAATCGGGGTACGTGTGTTTCTTTTGGTTTTCTTCTCGCGGGATTGGGGGTTTTGTGGCGGGTTTTGGTGTGGCGGATCTTGGACGGCGGGTGGTGATTTGAGGGGAGTGAACTGTGTGCGGAATGTGGCGCGGCGGTGCTGGGACAGTGCAGCGCGCGGATGGAGGCGCCAGGAAGGAGTGGTATGTGGCGGATTGAAGTGTGGTCGTGGAATCCGAGGTGACGAGGCTGCCCCTGCGGTGCTCCTGGACGTCGGTGGACACCGCACTTCGACGAGGAGTGGCAGAGACGGGGCTTCACCCTGACTCAGGATGGGGTTCTCCGACGCGAGACGAGAACGAGTTGTCTGGTCGGTCAAGTGGGACGGGCGATTACCAATGCGTGGCGTTCGAATTGGCTAGAGGAGACAGCAGATGACGCCGTCGGCACGGCGTAGATTGGGCGGCACGAGGCTGCAGCGTGGCCTGTCTCAGTGTGTCTCGCAGTCCCGTCTTCCATCCGTCGTCGTCGACTTGGTGGGATGGTCGTTGCTAGCGAAGCATCAGCCTCATCAGGCCGTCATTCTCTTGTTCTTCTCCCTTCCTCCCTCTCTTGTTTTTGTTTTCGCTCCCGCCACATGCTGACGCGTCGCCCTTGCAGTGCCTCTGCGAGTCACGAACCCGGGCGATAGGATGTCCATGTACGTCTGGCCCTCTCGTCCCTTTACCTTCCCTTCCCCCTTCCTTTAAACTTCATTGCGTGCGGCGCGTTGCGCATTACCATTCCCTCCATATCATACCCGCATATCTCTGTCCACTGGCCGCGTGTAGGGCGCGTGATTCGGCAGATTACCTTTTCGCACAGGGGGATCCGCGAACGCGCGCTTATTGATTGCTGCTATCAGCACTTCTGCCATCATACCTATCATCTTCTCCCGTCCCTTTCATCCTTTTCTACCACGTTCACACCAATACATACTCGTCCTCGCCCCACCCCTCGCCCTGTCATTCGCCATGCTATTGCTGACGCGCCTCCCGTGCTGCAGGTCCTCGAGCAGTGGTGCGTCCTGCGCACAAAGTTATACGCCACCGACTGACTATTCTGTGCTAGGCTCGTATGTTGAGGCGCCCAAGGCGAAGGTGCCGCGCGGGTCGCCGTTGCGCGATGGTGTCGCGTTTGATGTGCCGGAGTCGGCGGAAAGTGAGCAGGGCGCTGCCGGTGGATATGCGGAGGCTGACTCGTTTTTGTGTGGCGCAGACGCGAGCGCGAAGATGTACGCACTGCAGCTCCCCGGACGCACCGCTTCGGACAGCAGCGGGGTGAGCGAGGGCGCGAGCAGCAGCGGGTCGAGCCGGAAGAGCAAGAGCAAGAGTCG